TTACAACTCAATGTAAAGACCACAAAAAATCCCCACAACTGCATCAATAGGTAACATCATAATAAATGGAGAAAAGCTTGAAGTTGTCAAGGATCTAATTTTCATGGAAGCAGCAGTCATGAGATAAAAAGACACATTGTATTTGGTAAATCTGCTGCCAAGGTCTCTTACCAGTATTAAAGAGCAAGGATATGACTTTGAGGACTAAGGCATGCTTGACCCAAGTCATAGTATTTTCAATTGCCTCATATGCATGTGAAAGTTGGACATTGAATAAGGAAGATTGAAAAAGCATTGAAGCGTTTGAATTGTGGTGCCAGAGAAGAATGTTGAAGTGACCATGGACTACTAAAAGGGCAAACATCTGTTTTGAAAGAAATAATCATTAGAGGCAAAGATGGTGAGACTTGGTCTTACATACTTTGGACATGTTGTCAGGAAAGATCAAAGTCTTACATACTTCGGACATGTTGTCAGGAAAGATCAGTCCCTGGAGAAGGATGTCATGTTTGGTGAATTAGAGGGACAGTGAAGAAGAAAGCACTCAAAGAGCTGGATCAATACGTTGGCTACAACTGTGGGCTCAGACATGGGAACAATTGTGATAAGGGTGTGGGACTGTGCAGTGTTTGGGCCTGTCGCTCATAGTGTCACTATGGTTCGGAACCAACTCAATGGCATCTAACAACAAACAGCATAATGTCCTCCACTTTCATCCATGTTAGGAACTGTTTCATGACTTCATCATTATACTTTCATGTTGTATAGTATTTCATTGTATGTGTGTACTGATGTGTATTTATCCATCCCACCAATGATGAGCATTTAGGTTGTTTCTATTTTTGCTATTGTGAACATTGCTGTGATGAACATGCGTGTACATATCTATTATTTTTTATCTCTCTAGGGTATATGCAAAGTATAGAGAACAATAGGTCAAATGATTTTCCTAGTCCAATTTTTTTCAGAAAATATCATATGACCTTCCATATGGTTGCACTATTTTATAATCCCATCAGCAGTACATGAAGATTCCAGTCTGGGTACTTGTAAATATCTAAAAACAAAATGGAAATCTGTCCAGAAAAGAAACCATGTAGCAAGAAATATAGAGAGTTGAAAAAACAAATAAATGTGGTAAACATCTCCTTTTCCTTTATGTTGCACGGACTATTACTGTAAAGCTGGTTTAATCATATTATTATTATGTTTTTGTTGTTTTCCTCACATATTATTTGTGCTACTTTGGGAGCTTGATATTAGTATAATAAAGTTCAGCTTGTGTGCATCCTGTGGTTATTTATTTTCATAATTGCTCTTGGGGAAAAATAAGATTTCAGATAGGCATAGAGTACCTGCAAAATGAGAATGGACAGTAAGACAGCTTGGAACAGGCATTAATGCTGTCTGTCACCTGATACATTTTCTAGGCTTTGGCTTTGTGCTCTATCATTATCTTACAACAGCAACCAAGAGACAACTAAAGCCTTTTTATCTTTCTCTTAGAATTGTTTTTGAATTACAAATGAAAACGTTATACAGGAAAAGTAAGAATAAAAGTAAAGAATGACCATTAAAATACAACTTAAGCCCAGTATCTTATTCCCTCAAAGAATTTGGTATTGGTTATGCTTTATGCCTAACAGTTATCAAGGAACTTGGCTAACATCTTATTTTATCATGCAAGTTTCCACAAACTGATCTAAGGAGGCTGAACATGGAAACTAGGAGTTTAGATTATTTGTTATTTAAAGCTCCCCATATGAAGAGAACTTTATCAAAGTTCAAAATACTTATGGTGAGTATGGCATATTAAAATCATCTTTGGTGTATAAATTTTATTTTTGGAGATACCAATAGCTTTGAGCCTATAATAGCTATATATTTTTAAAGCCACTGTACTGGAAGGAGGAAGAGAGCCCTGATCTTTCAAACTGGAAACACTCATCTTGATGCAAAATAAAACACCCAGAGAAGATTCTGTCAAATTTAGAAAGGCAAAAGACTGAAAACCTCTCAGTGCTGCACATTGTATGGCAAGAAATGTACTGGCTTGAAGCCGGGAACCAA